AAGTATACGTACTGAGCTCTGTGTGGCTTCGTCAACTGCAAGATACTGTTCGCAGCGAATACACACCCTTATTATGAGGTATGCAAATCAGCGCAAACGTCTCTCGCAAAGCCACATGGCAGAGGCTCCGAATGGTACGATGTGAAAGGACAATCTGCCGGACTGTTGGGGGCAAATCGGAATGAAGCCATGTATGAAGTAACCCGAAGAAACTTGCTCAGCCTTACGCAAATTGACCCAGCTCCCCGGTTCTGGAGGACGGGCGCGATTGACGGGTGCGGATGGTCTGGAAGTTCATCGTCTTTTTGGTCCCGCTGGTCTAGACCTGATGGCTTGGGGTGTGGTACAGATGACGAGTAAGTTTGCTGTCCGAGCCAACGAATCTTGATGAAGGTAACGGCCGCATCCGGGCCGCGACCCAAGTGGAAAGGTCTGTTAGCCAACTTCCACAGCGAACGGTGTTGCGTCATCTTATAACCGTAGTTGTTCGCAAGTGTCGATGCGGAAATTTCCCCGAGCATACGCGCATCGATACTGGAAGCGATCCGAGAGGTTCGGCATTTGGGTAGAACGCGTTTACGGAACGTTATGGAACGTCCTCAATGTTTCGGCCGAGAGTGTGGAGGTCACGTTAGAAGCGCGTGACTTAGAACGTTGAAGTCAGAACACGTGGCTGCGCATGGGGCAGTAACACAAGCTTGTACCAGTGAAAATGTGAAGAGAGGCAGTCGCGATCGATGAGAAAGCAACTCATGATAGAAGTGAGTACTTTGTGAATGCTTTTATTGATGAACGCCTGACCAACCCACCCGGGTATAGATCTTGGAATGCTACCTAAAACGCCAATATGTATGCAAGGGGTATCGCTGAATGTAGAAAGAAAAAGAGCCTCCCAGTCCTCATGATCATGCAATCGTTTTCATGCAATCATCATCATGTGTGTCCGTCATCAGTACCCGTGGCCTGCCACTGGAGGGCGCAGTATGTGTGTAACAAAAGAAAATGCAGTAACAGAATCAAAGCAGACGCGGCTTTCCACCGTCTATAGGCCCCTAAACTTGGCACCGTTCCTGTGGTAGATGCTGTGTACTGCGCGAGGAGTGATAGCTGGGGGAGAGACAGCCGGGGGAGCGGGCGGAGTAGCAACAGGCGCTGTTGGAGCAGGCGCTGTGACAGTGACCATGACGGTGTCAGTGACTGTGACAACGCCATCGTTGCCGGCTGGTGGTGTTGGTGCAGCGCCGGGGCGACCGGAGAGTGTGGGAATCTCCATAGTAGCGCTGGAGGCTGCGGAGTTGCTGGGAGATGGCAGCTGCGCGGTAGCAGAGGGAATGATGGCAGAGATCGGGGGAGAGTTGCTGGAGGCTGGGGGTGCAGCGCTTGGAACGGGAACAGCGCTGGTGGTGACTGGAGCTGTAGGACCCGCGGGCGGAGTGCTGTTGGTGGGGAAAGGAGCTTCGCCACCAGAGCCGGAGCCAGAACCGGAACCTCCACCTGGCAGTGAAATCTCGGTCAAGATAGGGAAGTCCCACTCGTTCTTGGCAAGGTCGGTGAGAATAGCGGTCCGTGAGGCGAAGTCGGAGACGGCGGCTGTGCCTGCATCTTGCTGGACAAGAGCGAACTTGGGCGAAGCATCGGCGGACAGGGCAACATCCGGGGATGTGACGTCGACGTCCATGCAAGTAGTGTACCACTCGTTCTTGCCCTTTGGAAGTTCGTCGGTACCGCCCTCCTTCAAGCCACCAGGCCTGGTGTTCCACTGCCATGTCCAGTACAGGGTGTATGGCTTGCCTAGCTCTGCGCTCTCGGGAATTTGGACATTTGTTTCACAGAATTGCGCGTAGTTGCCAGGTTGGCCTTCGACAGCCTGACCAAAAGCATAGGCCGGAAACTCTTTCGAACGCTCCTTGAAGGTGGGTGTGTCGTTTATCTCATAGCATCGACCGTCGTTGTAGTTGTTCACGGCCAGCAGCTTGCCACGCTTGTCTCCGCCACTCCCGTCTTTGTTCCACTCCATGACTGTAGAAATCTTCTCGTCCTCCTTCGGTTCAGTAGTGCCGTACACCCAGATAGTGCCACCCGCCTCGACAGGTGGCTTGCCAAGCATGTGACCAACAGGCTCTGTAACGTGACCGTTTTCCATATACCGCAATGCGATAAAGCCACCAGGCGGTGCTTGGAGACGCGGATACTTCTCTTGAGATTGGACCGGTTTTCTTTGCGAAGGGTGGCACAATAGCGTTTTCTTGCTGATGAATGCGCCTTCCGTCAACGGGGGAACTAGATTGTTCATGGAGAGGTCGCCGTTGTAGCCTTTGTCGGTCTTTGCGACGTATCCTCGTGGGTACCCGTATTGGCCGACGTATTCACCCTTGTCGTTGATGTTGCGCATCTGCTCGATCCAGCTGTGGCCCATAGCGACAGGGAAGGCGACGAGCGCGGCGGTGAGGGTTCTCCGTATGCTAGGCATCTTGATGTGTGTCGTAATGTAGAAAGTGAAATCTTGCCCTGCAAGAAAAGATGTGGGATGGTCGGTGCCGGATGTCTTATCAATACTGGCGATACGTATATCCTGACGTGAGTGTTGTTATCGAAAGCGGGACAGCTGGGAATTGGTGTACAGGAAATTATATCGTGACGAAAAGTGAAGTATCGGCTTGGCGGGCACTGTGAGTGGTCGCTCCGTCAATAGTCGTGTGACTCAATCCGTCTTCACCTCGCACGTAACGATGCTATTGTTCAATGACAATAGTACCGGACCTTGTGAACGACGCACTGCGCGCTCTAGGCTACAAGAAAATAAGAAATGCAAGAGAAGAAGTGAAGACGCACAAGCCGGATGTGAACACAAACTGCAATATCACGCGGCCATGGTCCTTTATTCAGGCGGGTGAAGGTGGTGAGACAGACGCTGTTGAGCGTTGTAAAATCTCCGGCCTAGAAGGGAAGAAGCGACAGGAGCCAATAGAGAAGGAGACACACGAGGTGTCGAAACACAGCGCCACTCCACGCGACGCCGCACGCAAGCTTTCGAGCCTGACTGTATGGGTGTAGGATGTGCGTTTCAACGCTGGCCGATGCTGTAGCCGCCAGCCATGGCTTTCCCGTCCCGCAGCGTGGTCGCGGCGTAGCGCGCTCTTGCTGCAGCCTCCCGTACTCTCCGGCGCGAAGATCGGCGTCTGTTAGTCGGTAGTTGGCAATACATGTGCATGGCAGGGCTACGCTAGCCATCCTCAGACATCAGAGGGGCCGTTGAGTGTCAGAGGACCGTGTGCCGTTGATCTACAACACAACGACAGAAGCTAGGCATCATCTAGATCGATGCGATGAAAGTGGAGATGAAATAACGATAGATAATGAGAGCCAGTGATTGCGATATTGTGAAGCTTTCTGCATCGCCCATCGTGAACCCACAAGCGTGACGTAAGAAACCGCGCAAAGTGCACGCAAAGTGGATGACAAGATCATCGAAGTGCCAGAGCGAGCCTAGATTCATCCGACGACAGGTGAATGTGTGCCGGTGCAGCGCTTCGAGAAGGAAGGTGAACCCGCAAGCGACGGGTGGTGGGGTGAAGGTAGTTTGGTGGAGGCTCCACGTTGTTTCAGGTCAGAGCGCACGCGGGCGATGATTGGTCATCGGCCGCCACGCTAGGCTTCAACCTAGGAAATAGAGATATCGCCTGATTGGCGCGCATCTCTCCATTTCACGATGCCCGCCAGCTAGCCTTTTCCCACGACCAGATTACGACCAGATTGACGCCCATCCAGTCTCTATATTTGACAAGCGAGATTCCAGACACCTGGCCAGCTTCATGCGCCTTTTTTCTTTTCCGATGCCGAGCACAGGCCGCGAGATGAGATGTTTATTGCGGTACCTCTCATCCATACAGGCACGCTCCTATCGCTCCCTCGTGTTTCATCGATAAGGGAAAACGGCGGGGCGCGGAACAGCCCTGAGGCATAGCAAACGGCATCAACGGGGGCCTGGCCAGCATCCCCGCCTGTCAAAACGGCTCGCAGATTACAGGAACCAAACCCGAGGCTAACCACGTCGGATGTCCTTAGCAGGTGACCTCGTGCGGTGGCTACCCAAACCTAAAGGCCGAGATGTGTCTTCTGGAAGGTGCCATTTCATCTCACACAATGTCCTTACATCTTGAAATGTTATTGCAAACACGTCTCGACATTGGGGTTTCGAGGTTAGCCATGGACGGTGTGCCAGGTGGTACCTGTTGGTGTCGTCGCTTTCTGGGTACAGTGGCAAATTGATGTGGGTAGCATCTTCACACTGTTGTCGTCGAGACCGTCTACAAATTGATCAAATGTGCTCACGCAAACTACCATCTGCTGTCTTAGCCGTCAATATGCAATAGCTTGGAATGGCTGGTTGAGTGCCGGGCACAACAGACGTGAAGAGCTTGTCCATCACAGCGACAACCTCATATAAGCACTCCAAGAAGATGATCTAGCGGTAATAAGCTGCTGTCAAGACCAACAATACAATACTGCCACGCTCGGAAACATATCACAAGCCGAAACTACGATTATATCTTGCCCGAACTGCCTGCTTTTACTACTTGAACATGTGCCAATACACACTCGTCATTTACACGTGTTCTCATACATCCGGCAAAGGGACTTCTTGGTGCCCAGCAAGCTTGAAATCGTCACCAAATCGCTTTGGTCTCTGAAGCCGCGCGCAGTCAAACATCATCGAAGTGCGATACGAGGAAGCTTGCAATGCGTGTCTACTGAGAGAGCATCGGGAAGCAAGTGCGAAAGAAGTTGAGATACGGAGAGATGAGGGCAGACAGTAGAATCACGGGGAGCAGTGAGTGAGGACATAGGAGCGCTCTTGATCAGGCTAGCGTCCTTAGGCACAATTCATGGGGATACAAACGCACTCTGATACTTCCTTTCTTTGCAACCACAATATCCTCACTACCTACTTCTACCAATTTTACAAACTACACATTACCATACCATCCACATCCACAACAATGGCGTCAAACGCTGCCCCAGATGCGCCATCCCAGCCCGAAGCGCTGCTAAAGCGCGCCCGTGATGCCGCAGTACGCGCCCATGATGCCCAATTGCGCGCCATCAACGGGCAGCGAGCAATGCTAGACGCGCAAGATTACTATCACTACACCGAGCGCCGACGGCTGATCAACGAAGCCGAGAACGCAGCGCTGAAGCAAAAGGCTCTCAGTTTAGAGCGGCGCTTGGAGCTGGCGGATCTGGCAAAGCTAGAGCATGATCGCCTGAAGGATAATCTGAAGAAGTTGGATGAGTGGGAGAAGGACTTTGCCGTCTTCAAGCAACGTGAGGAGGACGGACAGTGAAATGTGAGTATTATGGAAGCTGTTCAACGTGGTACGGATCGCTAACGTGTTCAGTGTCGTCAAGAAACGCATTGCGAGCAAGAGGAAAAGGACCAACATGTACAATGCAATGGGTCAAGGGGACTCTTCACACGGGAGCGATGAAGGATACGGCGAAGTAGGCAGTGACCGTCTAAAACATTTCACAGCATCACGATAATGCCCTACATGCATTCAAGTCTCTTTTCGCACCATCACTCCCTTGACATGTGATTCCTTCCCGTCGTTCACATGAGCTCTTGCACAAATTGGCAACTACACTGTGCGCAACTCCTTTCCACTTAGTCCCCTATCTCACTACCACCCAACCGCCAGTAATAAGCACCGCCACCTACCCGAAATAAGCCATGCCAACTCTCAATATCAAACCCCTAAACTGTATATGCGCTGCGACCATCCACTCTTTCTCCTGCCACTGTCACAGACACGCTTACACTATTACTTGCCCAGGATCAGCTCGCCATCATCGCCCAGCAATCGTAGGTGTGGAGCTACACTTGAAGCCGTGCGATGCATGTGCGGAGAGACTAGAAGATGTTGAGAGGGCGTGGCGGGAGAGGCGAGGGATATGTCCGCATAATGATGTTGAGACGAAGGAGGGGGTGGAGGTAGAAGAGGCAGAGAGTTCCGGGTCAGAGGAATACGAGGATGCGGTTTCGATCATGACTGAACATTAAAGGAGCACCGCATGCCGGAAAAGATACAACACCTGAGTACAGCAAGAAAAGCCAGAGTGACCCAGAAGTCTACATCCCATCAAAAATTTACAAACTGTCCTTTTAATACCGATGTAGACTCCAGGCTGTTTAGTTTCCTTGGGTGGGGTGAGAGGTGTGGGTGGCACGCCAATGCAGTGTCGTCGGCAACCCATGGTACCGCATCGCGAATCGCGCGCACATTACCAATGTATGTCTCAGACCCCAAGAGACCTTGCACAACCTCACAACAGTCTCACTTTTGATCAACGATGTATATCCCCCGAACTCGGTTTCAGTGACCGCACCTCTACAGCGCAAGCACATTCTGTCCTTACCTGCATCATCGCCAGTTGCGAGCGTTACAATGCCACACTTTGCAATCACTCGTCATACGCTTGACGTGTTTCCGCGTTACGAGATACCGACAAAGACTCGCTTCGCGGTCTACTGCTATTTATCGCTACATTCGGTATTCTACTTTCAGATGCGACCTCTACGTGAGGAAACCATCGCCGCAGGATTTCTCTGGTTCACGATTCCCGTACATTTACTCTGGATGACGTTTCCCCTATTCTTCGCCCTAAGGTTCTATGCTGAGAACGACTACTCTATCGATCCCAACGATCATCTTCCAAGATACGTAGACCCGAGTCCTCCCACATCATACAAAATACTACTTTCAATGACGCTTGTCCACCTCGGTCAGATCGCAATCTGGACACAAACCTACCTCGGCACGCCTCCCCCCTTCCCCAAAGACATCCGCGCACTCGTTCAAGAATGCACGCTCCACTTCGCAATGTCCTTCTGGGTACTCTCGGAGTGTGAGTATATGCGCGCATACTGGCATTCTCGCCTCCAAGAGCGACCCTTCAATCTCATCACATTTCTCCAATCTATCCCCCGAGCCAATTTCGACCTTACTTTCCTCGTATCACGAGATTGTTGCAGTTACCGGAGTACGCCACCGAGGGATGGGCGGACATCTATGGAAGCTCTCTGTCGAGCTCTGCTTGACTTTTTCGACATCATGGCTTTTACGTGGGTGGTCCTGGTCTGTCTTCTTTACCCTATCAAGCGCTTCGCGAATCCCGGTCCTAATGGCGATACTTTCTCAATCGCAAACCGGTGTTTTGGAGTGTTCTTTGCACCGCGGTCGGACTGGTTTATCTTGCTTGATATTGCACTCCAGCGTCCGGTCCGACTATTGAACAGGATGCTGTTTGAATCGGCTGTGGAGGGTGTCAAAAGAGGTCTGGATTGGTGGCGGCGGCGTGATCTACATGGGAGAGCTGATAGAAGCGATCCCGAGAGCACGAGTGACATGTCCCCGTTGTACATCCCTCCTGCCGACTGGTCTGACCTCTGGGTCAATAGCGAAGAGATTGCCTGGTGGTCGGTATCTCGACAGCTCTACGAAACGCCCTGGAACGACTGAGATACCTTGAGTCAAGATGGCACTTCCCCCGGACGACTCATCTCCCAGCCTCGCGGAAGCTCTCCATGGCTTTCTGGCATACGCAGGTATCTCCGCCGACGTCACGTCGGATCGCACACCTTCGTTAGATATGAAGACGAAAGCGAAGACTCCAGTATGGGCAGCTCCAAGTGACCGTGGAAAAATACGAGCCATATAAGAAGGCTCTGGTCAATACATGAAGTGCCTTCGGTGTTACACAAGGAGCAGGCTGAGCTTTGGGCCGAGACCTCGAGGAGGGTTAATAAAGAGGAAGGCGAATGGAAGAAGGAGGTGGGACGCGTCGCCTCGGGGATAAGATACTCGTGGTGGTTGCTTTCGTCATGGGAGGTCGCCGTAGTCGCCCCTTCCTCGTTCGGTCAGGTTGGTCAAATTGTTCACGATAGTACGTAGGATAGCAGGCGCACTGGGTCTACAAAAGCCATAACTGCGCCATTGAAGGGCCGCAAGTAGCGAGTGTCTCGAATTTGTAATGATGCTGTAAATCTATCATTGATGTCGAATCGTAAGCATGCGAAATGGAAAGTGAAGGTGGCGTTTCTCGAGCATTCCTTGGCGCTCTCCGCTTTGTCAGCGCTAGCGTCCGCGACATTCAGCCTAGCTTCGAGCTCCGCGCATCGCGACATTTTCCCAACACCGCGCGCGCGACAACCTCACACACCACACCATCGCCGTCCACGTCCTCCACGCCGTCGCGACCCCCGTACGACTCACGCAACCCCCCGCACAACCGTCATCATGGCCAACTACCTCGCCTCCATCTTCGGAACGGAGCAAGACAAAGTCAACTGCTCCTTCTACTACAAGATCGGCGCGTGCCGCCACGGCGACCGCTGCTCGCGCAAACACGTCAAGCCCTCGTACTCGCAGACGATTCTGCTGCCGAACCTCTACCAGAACCCCGCGTACGACCCCAAGAACAAGATGAACCCGCAGCAGATGCAGATGCACTTTGATGCGTTTTACGAGGATATCTGGTGCGAGCTGTGCCAGTACGGACTTGTGGAGGAGCTGGTAGTCTGTGACAATAACAACGACCGTGCGTTCCCCCCACACTCATACCTTTACTCCCTTTGATTAGAAGAAACTTGCTAACGCAACCTACAGACCTCATCGGCAACGTCTACGTGCGCTTCAAGTACGAAGAAGACGCGCAAAAAGCGTGCGACGCGCTCAACTCGCGCTGGTACGCCGGCCGCCCCATCTACTGCGAACTCTCGCCCGTCACCGATTTCCGCGAGGCCTGCTGTCGTCTCAACAGCGGCGAGGGCTGTGTCCGCGGCGGCTTCTGCAACTTCATCCATCGCAAGGAACCGAGTGCCGAGTTGGATCGCGAGTTGGACATGTGCACGCGCAAGTGGTTGAAGGAGAGAGGCCGGGATGCCAGGAGTATGAGCAGGAGTCCTACGCCGCCTGCGACGAAGAGCCGGTTTTAGAAAGATTTGGTGGCCGGGAGGGTGAGGATGGGGCAGGGTTGAGGAGGAATGAGTGTGAAAGGAGTTTTGGCGTTGTGCATGCTCGCGCTTCTGGGACTGAGATATCCGTTGCGGGCATGGCGTTGCAGATTGACATTTGTATTATAGGTTGGCAAAACGTGCTGAGAGCGGATAATGGGCTGGACTAGATACACAAAAGCACTCTGTCGGTTCACATCAATCTGTTCGTCTGCCTGGATAAACTTCGTGAGCCGTGCGTTATGGTTAATGGAACTGACCATTATGCAGTGCACTTCAGTTGTTTTGTGTTCAGGTGTTTCTTGCAAGTCAAGTCACGTACGCGCGATATTGTGAGATGTTCTCGAGGAAAAGAAGCAGATATCGCATTGGTGGCCGTGTAAGACCTGGTATCATCTGAAATATAAACATCGAAAGAAAAGAAACCGCGGATAGCAGCAACGAGCATCCAAGTGCTCGAAACACCGGCCCAATCCAACCCCCAGAAAAAAGACATTAAACGCCCCATACACGCCGTCCATCCCAAAAACACTCATATATACACCAATTCCTTCGTTCCTTCATTCCTCCCATCCCCCTTCATTCTCAAATAATCTTATGTTGTTTCAAAATAATAATCGTAACAACCACACCCGCCACAAGCAGCAAGAAACATATCCAGAAACACCAGCAAATCCACGTCCTTTGCTTAGCCTTTCTCTGCTGACCGGCCAACCAGCTATCTCTATGTGACGCGTCAGCCGTGATGGTCGTGGTGAAGTGGAAGCGCGATGAAGGGCGTCCGGAGAGGTGGCTAAGGGAGAGGGTGGAGAGGTTGGGGGTGCGGAAGAAGGAGTGTGGGCGCGAGGATGAAGATGGGTGTGGGTGTGTGGGGGACGAGGGGAGAGGGGAAAAGGGCGGTTGGTAGGTGTTTTGCGTCGTGGTGGAGGGGAGCTCTTGGATGGAGATGGAGGGGCGGAGTAGGGGTTTCGTGGACGGCGTCTTTTGTAGTTTGGAGCGGGGTCTCTCTTTCTTTTTATCCATCTCCGTCTCCTTCTCCGCCGTTTGCGTATGTATTCCGCCCGAAAAGATCTCCGCTGATAGTGGTGACATCGGATTTGATGCGGCGTAGGACGACCGTGTGGATTGCAGTTGGACCATGGGCGGGGATGTGATGGGTAGGTGTGTTTGGGAAGTGGGGGATCCGAGGGGAGGGGATAGGGAACTGCTGACGTACGATTGCTTGAGGCCCTGGGTTTGCGTGGTTTTTTCTAGGTCGTCTTGGTGGACGGCTACGCTGAAGCGTTTCCAGAATTGGGGGTCGCGGACCATTTTGGTGTGTGTGTGAGTGGACTAGATAGCGAGGGTACGTAGGAGATGGCGAGTTATTGTGGTATGCTGAGCATGTACGTGTGAGGTGGCGATGGAAGTAGTGGTTGTGGTAGTAGTGACTTCGTCGTCGAGGTATATGTATTCGCAGTAAGAGTGATAGCGCCGATGGTAGAGGTTGATGAAAACAATCGATGTCGATGTAAAAGGCGATAGTCGACTATTAACTTCTGTCGAACTGCCACTAGCACGAGCGTTACGACGCCGAACGACAGATGCACGATGTCGCACAGCAACACGCGAGATTGTGGTGGGTATTCAGATTGGAAAGGGTCCAGCAGAGCCAGGAACCCGCCGCGTGTGTAGTGAATGACACGACGTAAACCTTAACTCGGGTAGTTGATCGACGATGGTTTGGGTGACGTAGCAAACAAACGGAAAGGAGCGACGGTGGTTGGAGATCAGAAGTAGATCAAGGCGATCGTTTGCAGTGTGTTGCAGCACTTCAAGGCGCAGTCGTGACGTGAAAGGAAAGTAGTTGCTAAGGCGAAAATGAGGAAACCGCCATACTTAACACCTGCCTGTCTATACAGGCCCCTAAAACAACAGACCATGGGGCCTTGCACCCATGTGATGTAACACTGCTTGCCTAGACTCTCATGTCCAGGTGTCAAAGCAGGACTGCGATATTGTCGTGTGGTTTTCGTTGGTTTCGAGGTTCGGGCTTGCGGGATGGAGATGGCCAATCAGGACGCGCAGGGCGGGATGCATCCCTGTAGGCCATCACGCTGGACACATGGCGCCGATGGCGGTAAGGCGCGGGAAATTGGAGAGTTGGGATTTGAGACGAGGGATGCTGGTTTGATTGGCAAGGCCATGACGCTGTTTGATTGCGTGCAGCGGCTGAGGCTGAGATGCAGATGTGTTCTACACTGTACATACCTAGGTATTCTGGCGGTGTGTTCAACTTCAGCTTCGTCGCACTTCTCCTTACTAAAGTCGTCGAGGAATCATCATTGAAGTTGTTTGAACTCGCCCTAGTTTCCATAGACGGGTGCTAGATGGAAGCTTGATGAATGCTTGAAACAAGGCGTTCTACGCAAAACATGGCTTGACATGGCTTGTCATGGCGACAACGGCCTTGCAGCCTCAGCGCGGTCCCACCCGCTGTTTCTGTCGTTCAACATGCCTAGGGCTCACCGCTAGGGTTCCCTAGACTGGCAGCTCATCATCCCTGCTGCGCAATCCCAAACCTTGTCATCCCAGTCTTGTACGACTACTGTACGCAATTGTTTACTTTCCTATTTTCCGGAATTAGCTGCTGCACAAGGATGCCACACGAGGAGCTGCCGTTCTGGCTCGTCAACGTGCCTCGAGACCAGTGGCCGAGCGACTGTCCTGACTTCCTGAGGGATATTAGTGACAAAGACAAGGGCATCATCGGGACGCCTGACGAGGAGTACAGGGTGTTGAGGTGGGACGAGGTGCGGGCTATTGTGGGTGAGATTGATGAAGACGTGACACGCGATAGGCGAAACGCTGATGGCTGTGGGTAGATGGCAACCGGGTGGACAAGTTTCATCGCTTGCCAAGTGAATTGAGACGGTACCGGCAGTTTACGCATCGGCTGGAAAGGGACTATGGCAGTATCATGAACTTCATTGTGAATGAGCGGCTGAAGTGGGGAAGCATGGAGCCGAGGGGCGCGCCGTTCCAATTTGATGGTGCGTTCGATTCACCTTACCCGGCTTGACATCTATGTTTACCCGCGCAGAGGATATCAAGATTCTGTACAACGACTGGCCGTATGGTATCGATGCCGACATTGTCCATCTAGTCGTGTGGACCAAGTTTGAACTCGACGACGACCCCGACACTGGATTGTCTACGGCCGAATCACACAAACAGATTGATGAGTATGTGCAAAAGACGTTTGCGCCCAAAGTCAAAGAGCTGGTGTGGTTCAAGAACTGGAAGAGCCTGAAGAGCGTGCATGCAGTCGAGCACTTTCACGTCATGCTGTACAGGCCGGATGCAGCATTTTTGAAGGAGATTACCAACGGCGATGTTCCGATGACTGAGAAGTTTGAGTGACGGGCTACTATTACTGCGTCCATTCTGGCCTGTAGTAGGAAACGGAGGATTTAGCAGGCTCGCGGGGTATTCCAGACGGCGGCGGGATATTTGAGGAACGACGGGGTATTTCAAGGAAGTTGGCAGAAAGTCTGTAAACATGCTCGCGCGTCATAGAATGGAACATAGAATCGGAATGTTTATTAGATTGATAGAGACGTTTGTAGAAATGCACGATTCGTTATCGATACCATCCAGAATTATTCACATCGCAGCCTTGTTTGGCTGATCCCCTGAAGATCATCCGGGTGTTGGGACTGATTGGCGCGTCATCCAGTGGCGCACGTGGCGTGTGGCGCAAACTCCGCGGTGCGCAACTTCTTCAGCGACTGTCGAGCAGCAACAACGACGAACTACTCTCCATTGACCCAAGTACGCTGAGCTGTCGAGCGGACTAGACGTGGAACACTGCTAGGCGCATATTTCTGCAGGACCCTTTGCTATCGCATCGCCTATCGTCGAATTACAGTCGCGTGCCGGTCGGGGAGTCAAAGCGGTGAGAGGCTGTCGGGGTTAGCGTCGACAAAAAAGTCGCGGGACGGCAAGGGGCCTCCTCCACATTTCAGTCTGGTCGGCACGAGTGTCGTGAGCACCGTCTCTACTCCCCCTCCTTCTCTCTTTACTTTTTGACATTGCGCGTCTGACGGTGTGTTGCGACGCCAATTGCGGGTTTCGGTATCGCAGGGCCTAATTGCAGAAGTGTGGACTTGACGGACTCTTAATAGCACGCCGACCACGGAGGGTGCACAAGGTAGGCCGCAAGAACGAATATCCGGCGTGAATGTACTGACACACAAAAAGGTCTTTTGATATAGTCACATCACACGTGAGACTCGCATCCAATCCCACCACACGCCGCGCACAGCCACCCTACGCGTCATCTCATGCGAGCGCCTCTCTAGGCCTACAACACCACTGAATCAACTTCAGTGGAAACACCACATCCTCACCATGCTCGGATATCTCACCAGCCGCTGGCAGGGCGAGCAGAAGAAGACGGGCCCCGCCTGGTTCGACCGCCACTTCAACCCCATCCTGCTCTCCGTCGCGAAGAAGGCATGCACGCATCCAATCCACACCATTGTCACCATCGCCTTTGTGGCCAGCTACTCATATCTGGGCGTTCTCGACAAGGGTCTGCTGGAGAGTGGCATTGAGGAAGCAGCCTCGAGCCGCGTCGACTTCACCACTCTTCTCGCCGGCAGCAAGAGACTCAGAATCGGAGAGGAGACGTCATGGCAGTGGGAGGCTGAAGAGCCCAAGACTGCCATCTACAAGGACAAGGTAAGTATTCCTGCGATATGTAAAGACCCTGCTAACGAATCAGACCGCCCAGGAACTCGCCCTCGTCACCCTCGTCTTCCCCGAATCGAGCATCATCAACTCGGCGCCCTCCCAGCAATCCGTACCCAGCAATGTCTCCGCCGAGCTCCTCCCCAGCTCGTCCAGCTCATTCTCCACCTTCTCTCACGACACCTCGCTCGCTTTCTCCATCCCCTACACCGAAGCCGCCGACTTTCTCCAGGCCATGCAGGAGATTTCTGCGCCCGAAGATGCGGCTCAGTCGAAGGGCTCGGAGCAGGAAGGCACACGCGAGGAGAAGAAGTGGATGATGAAGGCGTCCAAGAACGGCAGTGCCCCTGGCGGTGTGCGTAATTGGATTCTGGACTCATGGACGTCTTTCGTGGATCTTCTGAAGGTACGTTATTTGGCGACTGGCGTGAATCTGGCTAATTTTGATAGAACGCTGATACTGGCGACATCGTCATCATGGCCCTGGGATACCTTGCCATGCACTTGACCTTTGTCTCCCTCTTCCTTGCTATGAGGCGCCTGGGATCCAACTTCTGGTTGGCCACCGCAGTTCTTCTGCAGTCTGCCTTTGCTTTCCTCTTCGGTCTCGCCGTCACGACCTACCTCGGCGTCCCCATCAACCTGATCCTGCTGTCTGAGGGCCTTCCGTTCCTGGTCGTCATTATCGGTTTCGAGAAGCCCATTGTCCTCACCAAGGCTGTACTTTCTGCGTCTCTGGATGGCCGACGGGCGGCTGAGGAGAAGCGGGGCGCGCCCTCGACTATCCAGTCAGCTGTACAGCTCGCCATCAAGAGGACCGGATTCGAGATTGTCCGCGACTACTTCTTCGAGATTCTGATCCTAGTCGCCGGTGCCATGTCTGGAATCCAGGGCGGTCTGCGACAGTTCTGCTTCCTCGGCGCATGGATCCTCTTCTTCGACGCTCTCATGCTCCTGACTTTTTACACCGCGATTCTTACCATCAAGCTCGAGATCAACCGTATCAAGCGCCATGTAGCTCTCCGCAGGGCTCTCGAGGACGACGGTGTCGATGGCAAGGTCGCCGAGAATGTTGCCCGCAACAACGACTGGCCCAACGCACGCGATGTCCAAGTTGCCAACCACACGACAACTGTCTTTGGAAAGAAGATTACAGTTCCGAAGTTCAAGATTCTGATGGTTGCCGGATTCATCCTGGTCAACGTTCTCAACGTCGTCACCCTCCGCTTCGGTCTTGCTCCTAGTAAGGTCGCTCACGTTGCTGGCGTAGGAGCCACTCCCCCGCTGGACCCCTTCAAGGTCGCCGGAAGCGGACTGGACCACATCTACGAGCAGGCCAAGGCCACCGCCACGTCCACCATCGTCACCATCCTCATGCCCATCAAGTACGAGCTTGAGTTCCCGTCTATCCACTACGCTGAGCCGTCCATCACCGACAACGAGTTCGCGTTCGGCAACAACATCAGCACGCACATTGTCGACGGAGTACTGAAGAGCTTGGAAGACCCCTTCCTCAGCAAATGGATCGTCCTCGCGCTTGTCATGAGCGTTGTACTCAACGGCTACCTCTTCAACGCCGCCCGCTGGACCATCAAAGAACCCCACCAGCCGCTTGCTCCAGCTTCTCCTTCAGAAGTTCAGGATGGAGCCCCCACTGTGCCTGGAACCCCCCGCGTACCCTCAATGCACATGCCTACGCCGCCCCGCACACCCGGTCCTGAGGACACTCGCTTGCAGCCCCTTACTCAGCTCGTACCGCAAACACCAGTGCTTCCTATCGGTCCTTCGGAAGAACAGCAAAGACAGCCAAACCGTGCTGCTGAGGTCCTGGAAATGATGATTAAGGAGAAGCAAGCCCCCAAGATGACTGACGAGGAGCTTATCGAAATGTCGCTCAAGGGAAAGATCCCCGGTTACGCTTTGGAGAAGACACTCGGTGACAAGACCCGCGCTGTCAAGATCCGCCGTGGTCTCGTCTCACGTACCCACGCTACACGCGAAACCTCAACTCTCCTCGAACGCTCCCTCCTCCCGTACAAGGACTACAACTACGATCTGGTCCACGGCGCTTGCTGTGAGAACGTTGTCGGTTATCTGCCTCTCCCTCTCGGTGTCGCCGGACCTATCCTCGTTGACGGCCAAAACTACTTCCTTCCCATGGCGACCACTGAGGGTGTGCTCGTAGCTTCAACCTCCCGAGGTGCCAAGGCTATCAACGCCGGCGGTGGTGCTGTCACTGTTGTTACTGGCGACGGTATGACCCGCGGACCTTGTATCGGATTCGACAGCCTGACGCGCGCTGGTGCGGCGAAGATCTGGCTCGACTCAGAAGAAGGTCAAAGAACGATGAAGGACGCATTCAACTCTACCTCCCGCTTCGCCAGACTCCAATCTATGAAGTCTGCCATCGCTGGTACCAACATCTACGTCCGTTTCAGGGCAACGACTGGTGACGCCATGGGCATGAACATGATTTCCAAAGGTGTCGAGCACGCCCTTACCGTCATGGCAACCGACTGTGGTTTCGAAGATATGCGCGTAGTGACTGTGTCAGGTAACTACTGCACAGACAAGAAGTCCGCTGCCATCAACTGGATCGACGGTCGTGGCAAGGGTGTCGTCGCCGAAGCCATGATCCCCGGTTCTGTCGTCAAGTCCGTGCTGAAGTGCGAGGTTGAGGACCTCGTGCAGATGAACATTTCCAAGAACTTCATTGGATCAGCCATGGCGGGTGCTATGGGTGGTTTCAACGCCCACGCCGCGAATATTGTCGCTGCCATTTTCTTGGCTACTGGACAAGATCCCGCGCAGGTTGTTGAGAGTGCCAACTGCATCACCATCATGCACAAGTAGGTCATCATTGGCAATCTACCAAGACTTAATGCTAACAACGTCTAGTGTCAACGGCAACCTCCAAATCTCCGTCTCGATGCCCTCAATCGAAGTCGGCACCATCGGCGGCGGAACCATCCTCGAGCCCCAATCCGCTATGCTCGACCTCCTTGGCGTACGAGGCGCCCACCCAACATCGCCAGGTGACAACGCCAGGCAACTCGCCCGTGTCATCGCCGCTGGTGTCCTGGCGGGTGAGTTGTCGCTCAACAGTGCCCTGTGTGCGGGTCATCTCGTCAAGGCGCACATGGCACACAACAGGAGTAACGTTCCTTCTCGCGCGCCTACGCCTGCACCTGCGACGCCTGTCACGGGTGCTCAGACACCTGTTACTGGAGGTGGTCCCCTGTCTGCGCTGAGCTCTGCGGGCATTGCGCCGAGGCGGTAGGTATTCTTGGGGAGTGTGATGGTTTCGGCGTAATAAGGATAGGACTGTAGATACGTTGGGAAGATACCTGGATTTGTTTTGCGCATGTATCAGGGTAATCTAGATTGAAATGGTTCGGTAAGGAGACGAAGACAGGATGAAGATTTATACATACGCATTCGCAAGAATATGGGTCTTCTGTTGTTATGTAGGAGGAGATGAAGAGGGGTAGTATATACATCATTAATGCATTTGAGATAGACTAACAGCGTGTGTCTTTTGAGTGCTGTTATGTTGTTGTAGTCGCACCTTCTTAGTTTGGTGAAAAAGTTCGTGATTGTAGTCAAAACGGCAGGTGCGTTGGGTGGGTACTCTTGTTTGTGAGTCCCGAGAACCTCACGTCAGAACC